ATTGCGTACTCTTTGATCTTGACCAACTGACTGCGTATATTAACAATACTTTTATTCTTGTTCGTAATTTGTTGTTACTTTGTGATTCTACTTTAGAACAACAATTCTTTTATTCTTGTTCCTAATGGTTTGTCGCTGTATCATTCTAATTTACAACAAGAATTCTTTTATTCTTTTCGTAATTTTTTGCCACTTTATGATTCTACTTTAGAACAAAGATTCTTTTATTCTTGTTCGTAATTGTTTGTCACTTTATGATTCTACTTTAGAACAAGAATTCTTTTATTCTCGTTCGTAATTATATGTTACTTTATGATTCTAGTTTAGAACAAGAATTCTTTTATTCTTGTTCGTAATTGTTTGTCACTTTATGATTCTACTTTAGAACAAGGATTCTTTTATTCTTGTTTGTAATTTTTTGTCACTTTATGATTCTAGTTTAGAACAAGAATTCTTTTATTCTTGTTCGTAATTCTTTGTCGCTTTATCATTCTAATTTAAAACAAGAATTCTTATATTCTTGTTCGTAATTTTTTGTCACTTTATGATTCTACTTTAGAACAAGAATTCTTTTATTCTTGTTCGTAATTCTTTGTCGCTTTATCATTCTAATTTAGAACAAGAATTCTTATATTCTTGATCGTAATATTTTGTCACTTTATGATTCTACTTTAGAACAAGGATTCTTTTATTCTTGTTCGTAATTTTTTGTCGCTTTATGATTGCGTAGAATCAAGTACACCGAGTATGTAGCGTCGACGATGTAAGGCGCTATCTGTAAACTTGCGTTTTTATCTAAACTGGTGCGTCGTTGGATGGTAGATAGATGATTATAGTACGCAATCTGGCATTAAATATGATGTAAGACCTAATAAAGATAATTGGGTTCGGGAAATTAAATGCACTAATGAATTACATACGACATGGATAATTACTTACATTATTTACATTATTCGAACTGTTGTCCTCATTTTCGATGCTAAATTCACAATATTTCGGCCGTTTTACGCTCCGACCTTTTTCAGGTGATTGGAATTTCGAATCGAACCCTTTATTTCGTCCACAGGATAGATTGTTCTAGTTCCACGTGCCATACCTCTTCCGGATGTCTCAGTTATTTCCGTTTAACAACGTCTTTATCCACTGGGATATGTGTCCTTGAGTACACATGACCGAGTGGAGCGGAGTTAAAGAAAAATAACTGAGACATCCGGAAGAGGTATGGCACGTGGGACTAGAACAACCTAACTCGGTGGGCAAAATAAAGGGTTCGGTTCGAATTTCTAATCACATGAAGAAAGTCAGAGCGTACAACAGCCGTAACGTTGTGAATATGGAAATGAAGATGAGGATAACAGCCTGAATAATGTAATTAATCAAAATACCTCATCTCAGAGATCCAATCACTTGAAGAAGGCCGGGGCGAACAACGGCCGAAACGTTGCAAATATAGCAACGAAGATAATGATAACAGCCTGAATAATGTAAATAATATAAGTAATCATAATACCTCACCTCAGATATATTGACAGATATTAAAAGATAAGTTGTTACAAATAAAGTGTTCGGTTCGAAATTCCAATCACCTGAACAAGTCCGGAATGTACAACAGTCGAAACGTTGTCAATAGTGCAATGAAGATGAGGATATCAGTCCGAATAATTTAAACAATGTAAGTAATCATAATACCCCATCTCAGACATAGAGGCATATATGCATAATTGCTGAAAAAATAGTCGAAAATGACAGTGAAACCAACTATACCTGAAAATATTTAACTTTGTTAGCAAAAGTCTCAGTCAGTGACAGTATAATTCCCCCGTAAATATTCTAATGACACATTATACTCAATCATTTTCACGTCTCGTCAAGTTGCAGATAGAAGAATATTTATGTTGTTATGGAGATTAGTGATAAGATGCAATTTGTCGCTGGGGGATCTTAAGAAATGTTTAGCAATGAAGAAACTACTTATTAAGTCGTTGCATAATACATTTTAGATGCATGAAGAGTGGTCTTCAGTGATGCACTGTCCTCATCGATGATTTCGGGTTTTGCATCATATCTGCTCAAACAGCAACCCCGACAAGACTCAGGTAGAGTCAGTCGGTCTCCTTGAAGGTGTCGTGCCATGCATCCTGACATTGTAAAACAATATTCTATATAGTTAGGAGTCCGATCGTTCTTATTGAAATACGTCCGTCAGCGTCAGCCAATGAAAAGAAGGATTTTTCCACCCCCGCTTCTATACACTAGTGTCTTTTAACTTCATCCGGTTTCGATTCGAGTTACTTCCCCTGGATTCCTAAATCGGTAAGCTGGTCTCTTCCTTACATAGTTTAATCCAAATGTTTCATACGTTTGAAATTGCTAATCCCATAATATTATTAACCATTTAACTAAGAGTTACACGCGTACCCAACCGAAATTTATCATCAACCTATACTCACTTCAAAAATTAGTCTAACTTAACACTTATAGAAGAGTTTCTAAGGAAAAAAATCCCTATTCTTAATATCCGATAAAACTTTAAGTTTGCATTCATCTTAAACGAAATTCCACCACAAAAGATTCCTATACATGCATGTACACCCACGCATCTACATATAAATGTATTTACATGCACATGTTCGGGAACATATGCATATATTCATCTATTCCCCATTTATATTAACTTACTTTTACAAAACCTGCCTTTGCTAAATTAATTATTTCTTTGAAAATCCTTCTCCGATTCCTTACTTACCGACTAAATTAATTCAATGAACTAACTTAAAAAAAAAACTAAGCTAACAACTGAATTAACTAATCTACACTCATATTTACTATCTGTTAAGTATTACCCGAAATATTTCTAACCAATTAATACTAGTATCGACACTGGAAGATACTAGTTATAAATTCGCTATGCCATACTTGCAAAATATTATAAAATATAAACGTGTAACGATTGCTGAATTGAATAAACTGCTGAAAAAAAAACCTACTGTCCTTCAATCTTTTGTTTTCCTTTATGAGCCGTGGCCTTTCAAGATTTAGGCAATCATAACTCTTCACTTTCTTCTATCCCTTGTAACTCCCAATAAGTTTTCTCCACCCACCAAACTACATATCTGTCATCCACTTAAGTTCGCTAGGTATGTCATACGTGGCTTTCCCATGTCTCTCTTCTCCTCTATTCGACCTGTGAGCATCATATTTTCCAGACGCTTCTTTCTCATTACGTGTCCCAGAAACTTCAGCTGTCTCTACTGGATATTAAGTATAAGCCTCGTCCATGTTTGCATCCTCTCCAAGACCTCGACGTTACTCAGACGCTCGATCCATGGTATCCTAAGCATCCTTCTGTAGAACCATATCTTTGTCGCTTCGAGTCTCTTCTACATCTTTGAGGAGACCATCCAACATTCGCTGCCGTAAAGAAGGACATATGTCACGTAACAGCTCAGTATTCGTTTTTTTTTTTTTTTGTTAGCAAAGAAATGATCCTGTCTCGCAATATTCTGCCCAGCTTTTGGAATGCGACATTCCCAATTAGTCTAAGGATCTCAGTGTCACACTTACCATCCCCTGTCAAAACACTTCCCAGATATTTAAATTTCCGCACCTGCTTCATTTTAGTATACCCGACATGCAAATCGCATTAAGGGTTCATCCTTTTACAGATGACCATGCATTCTGTCTTCTTGTAGTTTATATTTAATTTAGTCCTCTTTTCTCAGTCTCATTCGCTACCTTCTGTAGGAGTTTTTTCTAATTTCTTTTCCATGTCTGCTATCAGTACTGTATCATCTGCGTATATTATGTTCTTAAGATTGTGGCCGCCAATAATGAATCCTGGTAGGATTTCCAATTCTTTCAGAATAACCTCGCGTCTTTCATTACTATAATTATATAGTGTTAGGTTTAAATAAAATGTTGAATTCTTTTGATTTCATTTTGCTGTTCAGCAATCTTGAAGACCTGATGTAATCTAATTCCTTAAATTTAATCACCTGGATTTGTTAATAGGTTAATTAGTTCTTTTGACTTCAACGGTAACCATATATGAATCATTGTCACTATTATTTAACTTTGTAGAAACAAAGAAATGAAACATGTTTTCCTTGAAATGTCCTTATATAAAATGGATATTAAAATATACTTTCCCCTAGACTGACCTCAAAACTTATTAGGAAGTCATAAGTTCAGTCATTTCGTTCGTAACATATAAATCGAGATGGTGTAATGGTTAGCAAGCTTGTCTCGCTAGAAGAATTACGACTGAAAAGTGAGTTCGATCCTCATTAGGTAGCCCCTACTTTTGGCCTTGTGCCACATCTAAGCTACGCTTAGAAAATATTGGGCACCCCGCGGCGGTGTAATGGTTAGCAAACTTGTCTCGCTAGGACAATTACGACTGAGTAGTGAGTTCGATCCTCATTGGGCGCCCCGTACTTTTGGCCTTGTGCCACATCTAAGCTACGCTTGGAAAATCCCTATAAATAATCAGATATCAAATAAAAAAATATGTCTTACAAGTGAAGAGTTTTGACTGGGATTATATTTTTATTATATAGTGAACTTCTTACTTTCCATTTAGTTCAAGTATGGTATTGTAAATTCAGTTCTATTAAAACAAATGATAGTGTGTGAAGAAGTTAAAAAAAAGAAATCTTACGTTTAGGAAATATGCATAAAAGAGGAAAAGGCTTAATGTTAAGAAATTTTAAAGAATCGTGACTTTGATTCTTTCTTCAAGATGAGCCAAATATGTGGCCGCGTTGAAATACAATGAATCGACATTTGCCGATCCAGTCATCAAGTAAAATCAATTTGCTTCGTCTTTCTTCGTGTTGGATCTGAGCACAAACTCATTAGAATTTAATAATAAAGGTCTTCCACGTTAAAGAAATCCGTTGATGTATTTTTTTTT